ACACACTCACAAACACACACACACACACACAGAGAGAGAGAGCGAAACATGTCAATATGTGTTATATACACTAGAGTTCAAAAGTTTGGGATCAGGATAAAGAAATTCATTTTATTCATCAAGGACGCAGATATTTTAAATTGTAATAATATTTCACTATTTTTACTGTATTTTTGGTCAAATAAATGCAGCCCTGGTGAGCAGAAGAGACTTCTTTCAGAAACATTAAATAAATCTTACTGATCCCTACATTTGAACAGCAGTGTGTTTCACACATTCATTTATTTAATCAGGGACAATGCACATTAATAATACACAAATATGTAAAATGCGCCAGATTTAGCCAACACTGGCTAATTTTCATCTGTAGTCCCTTTGGTTTGTTTGTTTATAATATGTTTTTATTTAATCCTGTAAATAAGCAAAGTTTAAAGATTTGGTAAAAAATTAAATAAAAACATATTATGACATAAAATTTATAAGAACTTTATCAAATATTATTTTTAGGTGATCCAGATGTACTTATAACTAATCAGATGTTCATACAATATTTATTTATAAAATAAATTATTGTTTTTTTTAAATGCTAATTTATATATTAATATATACATATAGGCCTACATATTTATTTATTTTTTTATATATTTATTACATATTTCTTTATATTTAAAAATGTTACACAAATTGATGACAATGTATTTTGTAAGCAATAAATAAATCAAATCGAAAAATGCTGCACTGTAATATGATTTGTGGAAAACCAGCTGTGCGCTTGACTACATAACACACACGGAGATACATGCATGCATACATAACACGCATTTACAGTCATTTACAGTATTATTTGTCCATGTTAATGTTGATTATTCCCGCTCCTGTACCCCGCAGCAGCTCGGTAAACTCGTCCTTGATGTCCTGCGGAAAGTCTCGAACCGAACCTGCGCTGCCCGAACCCGGAGGAGACCCCGCAGAACCCGGAGGAGACCCCGGAACCCGGCTGACATGATCCAGCTCACCATGACACCAAAACAACCGGCAGCAGCCGAGCAAACGCGTATTTACTCTAGTACTCGCGCATACCAAAATACACAACCGCTTCAATGCAGAGGGTTTTAATCTATAACTCAGGGGCCCCACATAACATCATCCTCGTGAGAGGGACCCCATCCTAAAATTACCAAGATGTCTATATGCGTTCTTGTATAAAAACCCAATTTATACGTGAAATATTAATTAAATAAATAATAATTATAAAATACATGTTTCCCTTTTTCCCTTATAGTACTGTTATAATACTGTATTTATTTATTTACAGTCACAATTTATTTACTCATTTATTTTAATCTAATATCGATTTATTTTATTAACTCATTTGTTTGCTTTTTTAATTTTAATCTGTTTACTTATTTGTGTTTATTTACTCATTTGTTTACTTATTTTATCTGCTTATTTGTTTATTTGAATTTGTTTATTTAATCTAATTTGGTTTGTTTATTTATTTTAATCTGTTTTATTTTATTTACTCATTCATTTAGCCTACTTATTACTTTTAATCTAATTTTATTATTTTTTATTTCTTATTTATTTATTTTTAGTTACTCATTTATTTACTTATTTATTTTGTTTTAATCTGTTTATTTATTTATGTTAATACATTTTTGACTATTTGCTTATTTTTAATGTATTTATTTATTTGTTTGTTTTAATCTGTTTATTTTTTATTGTAATTTCATTTTATTTTAATTGCATTTTTGTTTAATCTGTTTGATTTTTTTTATTTCTATTTATTTTTATTCACTAATTTATTTGCTTATTTAATTTTAATCTGATATTCATTCATTCATTCAAATCTATTTTTTATTTTTATTTACTCATTCATTTACTTATTTCTTTTAATCTCATTTATGTTTTTTTTTTTATTATTATTTATTGATTTTATACTTATATTTGTTTGTTTGCTTATTTATGTATTTTAATTTTTTGACTTTGTCAGTGGTTCAGTTATGGCATCCGACTGCAATACCATGGTACTTGAATAAATATATATAATATTGATATAAGTAAAAACACAGATAAAATGAGTATTGTGTAACGGTGCGGTTTTGAAAGCCTGTATATCGTGTATTTTACGGTATCTGACGGGGAGGAGCTGAACTTTCACACCGGGAAGTTTACGTTCACATGTGGACGGTGTGTGTGTGTGTGTTTAACACACATCTAATAACACATCAAGCATCATGTCATCAAGCAAAGGGAAAGGCAAAGGGAAAAAGAGACTGAGTGAAGCAGAAGGAGACAGATCCGCGTTAGTCTGTGATGAACCGGATTGTAGCGTCTCGAGCGGCGGATTCACGGTCACAGACTCCGCAGAGAGAGGTACCGGGAACCGGCTTCATTCATTAGTCGGGATAAACGAGTGAAACATGCTCAACCTCAGCAGTCAGGGTTTTGTTAAAGGTGCACTCGAGTCATTAATTAAAACTGTTTTCACACATGAACAATTAACCTCTCGCAGACATGTAATATTATAACATTCTCCAGAATAAATAAATGGCAAAGTATATATTTTTGTCTCATTTGTTTGATTGGATTCTCTTTGTGAACGTTCAGAACTTGTGTCATATCTGTGCATCGTTTAGTTACATCAAGGCTCAAATCAAATATGAATAGCAGATTAGAGTTAGAAGTTGCACATGTTGTGTGTGTGTGTGTTGTACAGGTCTGCTGTAAAGAATGTTTTTGCTCAGCTGGCCGAAATGTAAGCCCCAATGGAGAAAAAAGAAAAAGAAAAAAAAAAATAGAGGGAATATTTTTTTGTGGAAACTGTGATGCATTTTATTTTTCAGGATTCATAGATGTATAGAAAGTTCAAAAGAACAACATTTATTTGAAATAGAAATCTTTTGTGACATTATAAATGTCTTTACTGGCACTTTTAAACCATTTAATGAATCCTTGATGAATAAAAATATTGTTTTCTTACTAACCCCAAATGTGTGTCTGTGTTAATGGAGGTGATGAGTGTGTTGACTCTCTCTCTCTCTGTGTGTGTGTGTGTGTGTGCAGGTGTGTGTGGCGTGGCCAGTATCTCAGTTTCCGGGCAGACGTGTAGGTCTTCAGTCCAGCGCTCAGTCCGCTCTGAGAGTGACGTCTGGATCTCGGGTCACAGTGCAGCCCATCACTGGAGCCCTTCTACAGGCCGAGCACCTGCGGCTGACGCTCAGGTAGAGTGAAACACTGGCTGTGTTCGAAATGCCATACTATCATACTACTCTTACTATTCCTGCAGTATCCAGTATGTATGCTGTGCATAGTATGCAAATGTTCTGTATGCATGTAATACCTGGATGACCTACTATATTCTGCTAAATATAACTCAAGTACACTGAAATCAGTACAGAAGCTGTTCGGAATGGCATACTACCATACTATATTGCAGTATGCTGTGTGTATACTGTGAATAGTATGTGAATTTTGTGTATGCATGGAATGCCCGGATTACCTGCTACATTTGATGTATGCGTGTGTGTGTGTTTGCAGCTGAAGATAAAGCCCCTCAGCGCTGGCGTTCATATTTGGCTCAGATGAGTGTGAACACCATGAAGACTCTGAACATCTGCATCGGACGTCCGGTCCTGATATCCAGCAGCGTGGGACAGCAGCAGGTGTGTGTGTGTGAGATTATCACAGGTAATGGAGGTGATGAGTGTGTTGACTCTCTGTCTCTGTGTGTGTGTGTGTGTGTGTGTGAGATTATCACGGGTAATGGAGGTGATGAGTGTGTTGACTCTCTCTCTCTCTGTGTGTGTGTGTGTGTGTGCAGGTGTGTGTGGCGTGGCCAGTATCTCAGTTTCCGGGCAGACGTGTAGGTCTTCAGTCCAGCGCTCAGTCCGCTCTGAGAGTGACGTCTGGATCTCGGGTCACAGTGCAGCCCATCACTGGAGCCCTTCTACAGGCCGAGCACCTGCGGCTGACGCTCAGGTAGAGTGAAACACTGGCTGTGTTCGAAATGCCATACTATCATACTACTCTTACTATTCCTGCAGTATCCAGTATGTATGCTGTGCATAGTATGCAAATGTTCTGTATGCATGTAATACCTGGATGACCTACTATATTCTGCTAAATATAACTCAAGTACACTGAAATCAGTACAGAAGCTGTTCGGAATGGCATACTACCATACTATATTGCAGTATGCTGTGTGTATACTGTGAATAGTATGTGAATTTTGTGTATGCATGGAATGCCCGGATTACCTGCTACATTTGATGTATGCGTCTGAAGACGCTGCATGGGATACTGTTTCCCAGAACGCAATGCGCTCCATGTGACGTTTCATCTTCAAACGCGTGAGTGAACTGGAGGTGGGGAATAGTAATTATAAATGTAACACTTGTATTTGTACGTATATACATATACATGTAAACTACAAACTATCGCTGTGTATCTAAAAACAGTATCGTTAGTAGGACATAAATTGTACTTTAATCTCTACAGCACGTTTCCGATCACCAAATGACGTCACCTTTATCTTTATAGCGCTTTATACACTACAGATTCTTTCAAAGATATTAAATAGTAATTATATTGCAGCAATATAATATATAAATAAAATATATAAATAAAAATATTTCCGCGGCATGATGTGTTGCTCTTTAAGCATGCTTCACTTTGTCAGACAGGTTCTATTTAAGTGATTTCTTGATTCAACAGGTCTGGCAGTAATCAGGCCTGGGTGTGGCTAGAGAAGTTTAACTCAGCTTTCTAAAATAATGTGCTTAATCACAGTTCTTTCATGATTTAAGAGGAGGGGGCAATTAATTTTTCACGTAGGGCCAGGGAGGTTTGGACAGCTTTTTTCCCTTAATAAATGAAATCATCATTTAAAAACTGCATTTTGTATTTACTTGCATTATCTTTGTGTAATATTAAAATTTGTTTGATCTGAATCTTTTAAGTGTGACAAATATGCAAAAAATAAAAAAAACAGGAAAGGGGCAAAAACCTTTTCACAGCACTGTATATATGATAATTTACACTCAATATGTTATTACATACTGTTTTATAATGTACTACAGTATTGAGGTATAAATATCTGCCACCTAACTACTATTTACACTCCTGTTGTTAAAGAAAATGCTGCTATTTTAGTGTAAACAGAATTTATCATTATTTGCAGTGTAACTAGAATATAGCGCTTTTTCCACTTAGTGTAACTACCAAAAATATCAATAAAGACAGCTTGTTTTAGTTCTGTCCAATATGTAAAGTTAATCAATTATGAAATGAGTTCAATTGGGCAATATAGCATTGTTTACTAGTATGAAGCCTTATTAACAAGCCTTTGTAAAAAGAACAGTTAGCTCATTTGTTTCTAAGGTAACAACCTTGACAGCTGTGCTGAATTAATGTTCAGTGTTTGTCATGTGACAGCACTTAAGCATACTACTCTGAAACATTTATTGCTTATTGTATACTGTTTCACACACTACTCTTTAAAAAATAGTAGGCAGTATGCACTGTGTACTGGGCAGTAAGCAGTAAGCAAGTATGCCATTTCGAACACAGCCACTGTGTGGAGATTCAGATCAGATGCAATAGCCTTCAGCGGCTGTTTAGCTCAGCGCTGCTGTGATTGTGAGGGACTGTCGCCATCTGCTGGTGGAGAGCAGGAGCACACACTCGGCCAGGATGATCAGTGATTTGACTAGTTAGTTAGATAAAGCTAGATATCATAATAGTACATTTGTGACATGCCGCTGATTACCTCAGATAGGAAATTTGGCTCGTCCCAAAAGTCATGTGGACAGTAATACACTTACTGAAAGTAAATGCGCCAAGAGTCTTTGAAAGTTCAAAAGCGGAAATCAGGAAATTTAGAAAGTGGTTCTAAAATCAGTGATTCTCGACTTTTTGACTCCGAGGCCTCTCGTTATCTTAGCTACTTCTACTGTAATGACAAAGCTGCTAATTCTCAAAACTGTATTTACAGAAACTAGGAGTGGCAGTATATTGAAATATATATATATATATATATATAATTCCAAAAAAATTGAAAAATGTTCTTCGGGGTTTACATCTTTATTTCTAATGCATTTGCATGACTTTTCTAGCATTTTGTAATTATAGTTAAAATTTTTTTTAGAGCTTAACATAAATAGTAATATTGAAATATATATATATATATATATATAATTCCAAAAAAATTGAAAAATGTTCTTCGGGGTTTACATCTTTATTTCTAATGCATTTGCATGACTTTTCTAGCATTTTGTAATTATAGTTTAATTTTTTTTTAGAGCTTAACATAAATAGTAACACACATATTCTTTATAGAAATGTCCATGACTTTTTAAGATGTTATTAATTTCCATTGTGTTTTGAGATGAGTTTTCCCATCACACTTTTAAAATTCTCTCGCATATCCAGCTTTTCTGTGAAAATAAAATAAAAATGTCAGTTTACAGACAGACAATTCATTTGGTTGAGTTGCGCTGCAGTAAAGCGCTTCATTGTAGTACTACGGTGATTATCTCTTCAGCGCGAGCAGGACAAACAACAATGCAGAATATTAATAACTATGACTGGGGCTGTCTTATACATAACATTATTATGAGAACACTATTATAATAAAACGCTGTGAATTTTTAGAGTTTAGTTGCTGTGTTTCTGCACGTTGTTGTGTGAAGAACGCGTCCACAAAAGGAGTTTATTCAGAGCCACACAGACACGTTCATGTGTATTCGGAGCATTTTGTGCAGATAGCCTATAAGTCATAATATTAACGTTATGTTGTATAAATAACGAAGCGTATTCTATATGAGATAAATGATGAGTTAAATCCCATTGATTAAAAACCTGCTGCTTCACTCTACTGCTCATCTTCAGCGCGCGCAGCTCGAAACAGAAATGCAGAACATTAATAACTACTGTCATATACATGACGTTATAATGAGAGCACTGTTGTAAAAAATGAAATATGAAATCTTACAGGCCTGAAGACAAAGCGCTGAATACAGAAGAGTTCAGGAATTATCTCCTGCGGACGCTGGGTAACAAACGCTTGATTTCTCGAAGCCTCTTTGAGCGATGGTGTTATATTCAGACGCTCACAGCGTGCTTCTCTCTCTCAGACGGCCGGGTTCTGCTGCCGGGTGGCTCTGTGTGCGTCTCGTATTTCGGGCGTCAGTGTGTTCTGGCTGTGGATTCGGTGACGGGTGTCGATGGAGAGACTCTGAGACGCTCAGACGGAGTCGCTGTCGATCTCTCCTCACAGCTGGAGCAGCTGTCCATCCAGCAGAGGTCACCTGACCCATCACATGACCCCTCACCTCTGACCCCTGACCCATCGCATGACCCCTCACCTCTGACCCCTGACCGATCGCATGACCCCTCACCTCTGACCCCTGACCGATCGCATGACCCCTCACCTCTGACCCCTGACCCATCACATGACCCCTCACCTTTGACCCCTGTCTCTACACCCTGTAAACTGAGTGACCCGGTTCTCAGCCCGTCCGAGGCGTCGGATCGGTCCGGACGCTCATCCACAGATACCTTCTACGCCGTCTGCAGCTCCTCCACACTGAGCGTGTGTGACCCCGGCGAGCAGGACGAGGCCGAGGAGGGGGGTGAGGGGTCAAAGGTCACGTACAGTATGATCGGCGGCCTCGGCGGTCAGCTGCAGGTCATCAGGGAGACCATCGAGCTGCCGCTCAAACACCCGGAGCTCTTCAGAAACTATGGTGAGTGAGGTCAGAGGTCAGATCCGGCCGGCCCGACCTCTGACCTTCAACCTTTAAACTTCACTTCTCACATCAGTCCTTTGAATCAGTGCGATCCGAATGGTAGAGAGTCAGTGTTGTTACTGTTAACTAAGTGTGAAAATCTTAAAAACAGTTTTGTTAATTGAAATAAAGATTAAGTAAAATAAAATATAAATGTTAGATTAAAATTAGCATTATTAAAATGACTAACTAAAGCTAAAACTGAAATAAAACTAAGACAAAACTGTTTAGAAATAATAATGTTAATAAAAAAACTAATAAAAATGACAAAAGCACATAACACAATTCTTAAAAAATTTTACTAATTAAATTAATTAAAAATAATGAGTGAATTCAAAATATTACTAAAGAATATAATAGTACTAAAATTACTAACTGAAACTTTAAAAAAAATAAAACTGTTTCAAAATAAATAATAAAAATGACAAAAGCACATAACACAATTCTTAAAAAATTTTACTAATAAAATTAATTAAAAATAATGAGTGAATTCAAAATATTACTAAAGAATATAATAGTACTAAAATTACTAACTGAAACTTAAAAAAAAATAAAACTGTTTCAAAATAAATAATAAAAATGACAAGCACATAACAAAATGACTAAAAGTAGACTTAAATTAAAATGAAAACCGAAAAAATAAAATTGAATTCAAAATATTACAATAAACTTTTGAAATAGTACTAAAAGTACTTACTGAAATACAACTAAAACAGAAAAAATCCTAAAATTAAATAAACTATTTAAAATAAAATAAAAATGACAAAGGTGCATAACAAAATTACTAAAAGTTAAACAAAAACTAACATGAAAAATGAAAATATAACATTATATTTTCACATATAACATTAATCGGAGCACACTGTAATATCCCACAATGCAATGCTCTTGACCTTTGATTTCCTGTGACAAAAAAATGAAATCAAATCTTTTTGACTCATTATTTAATCAGACTGACATTCCCACAGAAAGTTAATTAGAAATGCAAAATATTCATTTTATTTGCTGACGCCACTAGATAGAATAAAACTTGTGGTAATGAGGTCATGCGACACATGTTTGCAGTGATGTGGTCATGTGACGTGTGTCTGTCGAACAGGAATCCCGCCTCCTCGCGGGCTGCTGCTGTATGGGCCGCCTGGCACAGGGAAGACCATGATTGGACGAGCCGTAGCCAATGAAGTGGGAGCTCACATGAGTGTCATCAACGGCCCCGAGATCATGAGCAAGTGTGTGAGAGGAACCAGTGCAGGAACAATACCAACAACACAAAAGAGACACATTTATTAAATATATACTGTATATATACATTTAGGCTAAATCTAAACTGATCACCAAAACAACAGCAACCTAACTAAAGAACAATAAATCACAATATTTAAATAATCAATAATTTGATAATCAAAACAAGGACAACATAGCTAAACAATAAAAGTCACAATTTAAAAAAAATATATATTTATATATATTTCAGCTGAACTGAAAATGATCATCAAAACAACAACAACAACATAAATAAAGTACCAAAAAAAATCATATTTTTAACTGTATTTATATTTATTTCAGCTAAACTGAACTTGATAATCAAAACAACAGACTAAAGAACAATAAAAAGTAACGTTTTCTTGAATATATATACAGTATATATAAACTATATTTTTATAACTATATATTATATATTTATAATACATGTATTATATATACATATATATATATTAGAAAATATAAATAAAACATACAGTACATTTAATATCTAATTGTATTTGATTAATATTGATTGTCATAAGTGTGTAAATGTGTTTGTGTCTCTGCAGGTTTTATGGAGAAACTGAAGGTAGATTGAGGCAGATTTTCTCACAGGCCTCACAGAGGTAACCATACTTCATCTCACTGTGTGTGACGGGGTCAGACGCTCATGAATGAACCGTAATCACTGTGTGTGTGTGTGTGTGTGTGTGTGTGTCTCTGTGTGTGTCTCTGTGTGTCTGTGTGTGTGTGTGTGTGTGGGTGTGTGTGAGAGAGTGAGTTTGTGTGTGTGTGTGTGGGGGTGTGTGTGAGAGAGTG